CTTTGACTTTCTGATATGTCATTTCACCAACCACCGACTGTTTATGTGTCTATATAAAGACCAGCAGAAAACTTTCATTTGGACTTCCGGAGCTTGACAGATTGACACACAGAGAGAAACAGGTTTGACTGCACTGCTTAATATGATCCATTTTAAAAGTTGTTTTCAATTATTCGTTGACTTAATATGCTATGATAAGTCAGAAATAAACAGGAAATACAAAATTTGTCATGAAAGTGATAGAGTAAAACTTGACTTAATATTACTGTGAAGTATAATGATACAATACAACTGTATTCAGGAAACATATGCTGTAAATGTATTACTGACAGTCTTATGGAGACATTTAATCTTACTGGTAAAGCTAATAGTAAGACACTGAAACATTTGAGAGACTTTGGTGGATTTATCAATAAATATCAGATTTTTTTTTTTCATTACTATATTTTTCAGACTAAAAAGAAAAATACGTAAAACTGTCAGACAAATAGGGAATGTTTTTATGCAGGGAATTTGCATAAAAGAACAAATAAAAATAAACAAAACGTAACAACACCACTCCTAATGAAATACACCACTGCAGTCTCCTATGTGGCATCTAATTTACATTTTATCAGACAGCATGTATTTCTGTAAGCTTGCTTGGTTCTGTTTTACTGTTATTAAATCAAATCATAATCATGGTATACACTTATAGTAACTTAATGTGTACAAGAGCAGCAGCATTTTGAGTGGAGCACTTAGAGCTTAGGTTTCAATATTATTGATCTCCTTACAAATACTTACAGGTGCTATGAAGTATATTATGAAAACATACTTTAACAAAATATTTAGTATAAAATTAACATTTATGGATTCATAAAGGTTTGGTGTCACAAAACCAGTGTGAACAAGTCATTGCTAGTTAGGGCAAAACATTAAAGTCTCTCAATGAAAAGAGAGAGAGAAAAAAGATTAGAGGGAATAAACCTAAATTAGTAAATGACTAAGTCTTTGCGTCTTTGCTGTCTCACACTATTTTTTCCTATTTAGTTGTAGGCCACACAACAAAAATGGAACCTAAAGCACTTAATTTTATAATTTTACTGGGGAAAAAACGAGCTGGGAAGAGTGTGTCAGGAAACACAATACTGGGACGAGAAGCTTTCATATCAAGGAGAAGATCTGGTTCTGTCACGCCTGATAACACTGTTGAATCTGGGACTGTTGATGGGTTTCCAGTCAATGTTTATGACACACCAGGAATCTGTGACCCAGAACTGAGTGAAGATGAGATTCAGCAGAAGATTGAAAATGTCCTTCAGAGATGTGAATCAGGTCACTGTGTGTTTCTGCTGGTCATCAAAGCTGATAGTTTCACTGAAGAAGAGAGAAAAACTGTGGAGAAGATTGAGAAGCTGCTGGGAGAAGAACGCCTGAATAAAACCTGGATTCTCTTCACCAGAGGAGACGAACTGAAGGAAGACAACCTGACAATACAAGAATTCCTTGATAGAAATAATGGGTTGAAGACACTTGTTGAGAAATATGATCAGAGATACCATGTGTTCAACAACAAGAAGAAGACAGCAGCAAGTGACCAGGCTCGATTACTGCTGGTAAACATTCTCCAGAGATCTTTGGGGTTAAGCGGTGAGTGTTTTAAAAGATCATATAGGCCAAAGTTTTTGGTTACAAATTGTGGTGGTAAACTGTATCTCAGTTATGTCAAAGTGTATTACAAATTATTGCAAATTATTTATTAATTATTAATTTACTACTTGCAACTTTTTGCTGATTGATATTCTCATTTCAGCTATTGCTGAATAAAATTAACATTGTCAGGCTTTTATTTGTGCCTAATGACTAAATTAACGATCTGCGTACTTTGATTTATGACTGCTTAAATTTTACCTACCACAAGATGGCACTGTTTCCTAGACTCCTGACGCTTTGAATTTCAACTCTTTTCCCGAAACAAACCTTCAAAGATTTAAGAGGCTTCATTTTTCCATCCCTAGCGCACACAGTAAAAAAAAAAATTTTTTTTTAAAAGGGCACACATTTAAAATTCACAGCGAACACTAACCCATGACACATAGCCTTCACAAAGAAGACACAATCTTCCCCTGCATGGCAATATTAGGAAGTTTCCTCTATCTGGGTTTTCTCCACTTCCTCCGGGTCTTCAGCACTGGTGGTGCTAGCCAGCCACAAATGCCATAATACAATTCCCTTTTTACCTGTATACCCTCAAGCTCAGTTTGTCATGTGTGGAGTCATTTTCACACAGCGGTAGCCTGATTCATAGATTCTGAGAGGTCTGTCAGTTCATTCTACATGTAACATATCAGCCTATCACACGTCAAGCTGACTGCAAGGCAGGCCAGAACGACCATCAGGCCACTGGGAAATGTTCTGGTGCTTCAGATGACCAGACCGCTGCTGCCTAAATATTTGGGTTACGGCCAAATGCCCATTAAAACGTGGGCCCCATTTGAGAACCACTGCTCTAGACCAGTGTTTCCCAACCGGGGTGCCTTCTGTCGAGAGCAGGGGTGCCGTGTAAAAAA